GAGTGAGTGAGGGAGGGAGTGAGGGAGGGAGTGAGGGAGTAAGGGAGAGAGTGAGGGAGTGAGGGAGGGAGGGAGGGAGGGAGGGAGGGAGGGAGGGAGTGAGTGACGGAATGAATGAATGAGTGAATGAATGAGTGACAGGAAAGCTGTCCCTGGGTGCTATCAGGAGTCTTTGCTGCAGGGTGACCCCCGGCGTGCGTTCTGAACGCCACGCGCCTCTCCCTGGCAGCTGGCTCTCTACAGGGCCAGGCAAGGTGGACCCCGCCTGGTGAGCAGCAGCACTGCCGAGGGCGACGCGGGGCCTGGTGGGGCACTGAGACTCGGAGGACACCGGACCCCTGGGGGGACCCTGCAGCCGTGGGTCTCCCTCGTGCGGTGGGTCTGTGGTGGGTCTTGTCCCCTTTCCCCTGAGCTGAGTGGCCGCCGCTCAGAGGGTGGCTGTGGTGCTGAGGTCCTCAGAGGACGCCTGCCCACACCCCCGCCCTGAGGCCCCGCCTCCCTCCGCAGGTGTGCGGCTTCAGTCCCCGGCAGGCGTTGTGCTCACCAGTGTGTCCGTGTTGGCTGGGGCTGTGGTCTTCTCGCAAAAGTCAGAGATGTATTTCCAGGTCTTGTCCCTCAGGGTTGGCTGGCGCGTGGCACTGGTAGGGGGACGCTGTTTCTTCCTCTTTTCCTCCTCAGCCTCCTCTTTCAGAATCCGACTGACGATCTCCTGCTTTCTGAGCTTCTGCCCCTCCTCAAAGGCCCTGTGCGGAGTCAGACACGTGCGATAGGCCCCCGGCCTGAGTCTTGCCCCAGGTGACATGGTGCCCAGGGGCCCCTCCCTAGCACTCTCCTGGGGTCTCCGGTCCTCCCTAGCAGGGCTATTGGGGTGCGAACTTCCGGGTCCTGGGGTGAACGCAGGTTCCGTGGGGAGCAGATGGGCAGAGGCCAGAGCAGAGGATCCAGGCTTAAACCCCAGCTCAGCCCAGCCCTGCCCTGCCCTGCCCGCCTTAGCAGCCCAGTCCCCGAGCAGCCTTGACTGCCCCCAGGGCTTCTCCCCAGCCCTTGTTTCTAGGCTGGCGTGGGGCTGCCACTGAGGGTGGCACCAGGCTGAGGACACTCATCCACTCCCTGCAGCCACACCTCCTGGGTGCCTCCTACGTGCCAGACCTGCGCCAGGCTAAGGAACGTGCAGGTGGTGGAGCCGCTGCCAGGACCCCCTCCCAGGTGGGCAGGCTGATGGGTGGTGGAAAACCTCAATCATGACTTGGGGGGGGTGGAGAGGATGCCCTCAGGGCTCTGTGGCACCCAGAGGAGGACGCCTCGCCCAGAGAAAGGGCCAGGAGCCCTGCCCAGGCAGATCTGAAGCAGTGACTGGCCAGAGCCGTGCATGGGAGGCCAGGATGGGAAGAAAGGGCCAGGCTCCCGGGATGAGAGCAGCTTCCGGCAAAGCCTGGGACAGGGTGTGTCTGCACGGAGGTCACCAGGGAGCGTTATGGGCAGGGATGGGAAAGGCCAGACTGAGTGGGAGGGAGGGGACTTGTAGGAACCTGGCCGGAGGGTCTGGATCTCAGGAAGCCTTTCCCACAGTGGGGTCTGACAGTGGGGGTCTGAGGGGGCAGCATGGGCCCTGGTTTTGGGGAGACCAGAGAGTGAAGCCAGAAGCAGTGTCATGGTGGGAGGGTGGCCAGAGGGGCTGGGGGGGGTCCAAGGCAGTGGCACCAGGAAGCCAGGTGGATGGCCCCAGACAGAGTGAGCAAGGAAGGCTCAGCAGTTCCAGGTTCCCTGGAGGGGCCTGGAAATGTCCCCAGGCTGGGGGCCTGGTGCTCCCTGGAGACTTCTGGGTGGGCTGGGAAAGAGCCTGCCAGTCCCTTCTCCTGAGAAGCCAGGACAGGAGGTGCAAGCTCTCAAGAGGGGCCAGGGTTTCAGAGTCCAGGAGGGGAGAAGGGGCCGACGGCTGACGTGGACTAGGGTAGGGGCAGGGCCGGCCAGCCCGAGTCAGGCCCAGGCAGGGCAAGGGTGGCGGCCTGGAGCCCCTGTTCCCATGCCCCACAGCTGCCTGAGTGGGGGCCCTGGGAGAGGGCACAGCTTTGCTCGTTGTGAGGCCCCCTTGGCCCTCCCTGCTCCCGCTGACTGGGCGGGCACCTCCCAGCGGCACTTCTCCATGACCCTCACCTCTTCTGGGCCTCCAGCTCCCGGCGACGGCGCTGGTGGACAAGGTGCCTGAATGCGTCCCCGCCCTGAGCCAGAATTGCCTTCTTCTCAGCCTGGGCCCTCTGCTCTGCCAGCTGTGCCTTGGCACGGCCCCATGCGTGGAACTTCCGCAGCGTGTCCTTGGAAATAGAAAGCACTGAGGTGACAGTGCCAACACGCGCGGACACATGCTCATGCTCACCTGCACAGCTGCACACTGTGCACACACACATGCTCACACATGCACACCTGCACACACATGCACCTGCACACACACACACGTGCGCCCATGCACAGCTGCACACACATGCACATGCTCATACATGCACATGTGCACACACTACACTCTGCACACCTGCATACACACACACACACGCTGACACATGCACACACGTGCACATGCACATGCTCACAGATGCACACCTGCATACACACGCACACACATGTGCACCTGCATGTATGCACACGTGCGCACGCACACACACACACACACACACACACACACTGGGCCTTTCCTTTGAACAGGTGTCCTTAATCTAATGTCAATGCCCGTGGAAGCCATGGTAGACAGCTGGCAAATTGCACATCCCGAGCATGGGGCTGTGGCTGTCTCTGCACGTCACCTGCTTGCCTTTGCTCACCTCTGAGCCTTTGCAGATGCTGTTCCCACTCTGCCCTCCATTTTCCCAGCCTGGACCCCCAGCCTTGGCCCCAGGGCATGGCCTCGAGCTGCCCCGGCCCTCCATGTGCCTTGTGGGAATGTCACTCTCCTCCCACAAGACCAGGCCCCGTGAGAGCAGGGCTGGGCTGCCCGCTGCCCCCTGATGCCAGCACCTGGCCCTGAGCCACACCGAACTGTGGCACAGACTCAGGAAACCTCCAGGGGCCACCAAGAGTGCAGGTCAGCCCTGGATGTCCAGGGTCATGGGCCTGGCTCCCAAGGAGCAGGACCCCAGAGACGGACATGGCAGGGAGCTGCGGGAGAGATGGGTGGGGCCGTGGGGCCTACCCGGCTGGCGGAGATGCCGCCCTTCAGCGCCACCACAGCGTCCATGCGTCGCCTCAGGTGCTCCTGGCACTCCAGTTCCTCCTTCTTCTCTTGCTCCCGGATTCTGAGGAAGGACATTGAAAATTTTTTGAGGCGGTCTCACTCTGTCATTTAGGCTGGAGTACAGTGATGTGATCACAGTTCTCTGCAGTCTCGACCACCCAGGCTCAAGCGATCCTCCCCCCTCAGCCTCCCAAAGTGCTGGGATCAGAGGCGTGGGCCACCACAGCTGGCCACATTTTTAACAGAGGAAGTGACATAGTGATGCTGTGTGGGGTGTCGTTACGGGAGCCTCGGTGCTGCCATTTCCATCAGAACATAATCAACGGTGACAACACAAGAGCTGGGACGGGCAGAAGGTGCAGCTGCGGAAGGCCAGCCACCAGGACCCGGCGGGAACACGCCCAGGCATCTCACTGTCCTCTTCAGAAAAGAAACCGCAACTCTGCACTAAAAATACAGATTTCCTGGTTTTTTATGATAAAGTGGTGATTTAATAATAAAATCAGGGGGCCAGGCATGGTAGCTCACACCTGCAATCCCAGCACTTTGGGAGGCTGAGGCAGGTGGATCACCTGAGGTCATGAGTTCAAGACCAGCATGGCCCATAGTGAAACCCCGTCTCTACTAAAAATACAAAAATTAGCTGGATGTGGTGGTGGATGCCTGTAATCACAGCTGTGGGTAACACCCTCCATGGGCACGGAGGAAGGGGAACTGTGCAGACCCCCGGCACAATTAGTGCCTAAAGCATAACTCACTGCTTACTCATATCTAGCTTATATATATGATCGTACTTAGTCCCATATAATCTTTCTATATAATCATATAACTCACTGCTTACTATATACTAGCTTATATATACAATTATACTTAGTTCCATGTAACCTTCCTATATAATCATACAGGTATCGTAGTCGGAGCTGTACTGACACATTTAGTGCTGATTTATAGACTCCTTCCATACAACCGTATAGTAGTTTGTACTAGGAGGAATGCTTGGAGCAGTCACAGAACAGAAGCAGTACATGGGAGAACAGCCAGACCAGGACGAGAACCAAAGACCCAGGCGGTGGCGTCCCTGCCTGAAAGGGCAAACGCCGTATGGCAGGCTTGGAGCAGGAGCCTCTCCTCCTGATAAAGGAGTTGTAGCACCTTGCATCCAGTTCCTGTGGAAAGTCGGCCTCAGGCCTGAGATCCTGGAAGTAACCGAGGGAGAAGAACCCCTCTGGTGTGACCAGTCGTGGCGGCTGTGCACCCTGTCAGTCTTTTCTCGCTTCTGTGCTGGCTCAAATCATCCTCCCATAAATATCTTAGAGAAGAGCACACGTCTGTCAGCTCCCACTGCACTGGCTTACAGCATCGTTCTATTAGAAACCCTTTGAAGCCTCCAGCCCCCAGATAAGAAGTGTTGCGCACGACACCTGCTGCACACAGCCCACCTCTGCCTTGGTGACCTAATAGGGGTGGACCCCTTTTCTGTACACGACCCTCTGCTACTGCGCACGGCCCACCTTTCTGCCCAGGTGACATAATGGGGTGGCCCCCTCGCTTGTGACTCAGGTGATTACATATGCCCTATCACTAAGCCTATAGATGATGACCTTGCTTACGACCCTTACCCCTGATTGTACCTAATAAATACAGACACTTCTGGGCGTTCAGGGCCTCGCCTGTCCCTGCTCACAGGTGGCTTGGCCCCCAAGTCCAGATGCTCTTCTCCAGTTCTTCAGTGTCCTGTCTCTTTACTTCTTGGATCCTGCATCTCAGCACAGCATAAGGGACACCCCACGACCCTGCGGGGCCAGCACCCCTACACCTACTAGGGAGGCTGAGGCTGGAGAACCTGGGAGGCGGAGCAGTGAGCTGAGATTGTGCCACTGCATTCCAGCCTGGGCGACAGAGCAAAACTCCATGTCAAAATAATAATAATAAAATCAGGGAATTTCAAGACAAAAGCAAGTGACTCGAATTCTTGGGTTTCTCCCTAAGAGCACTGAAGGGAAGGACAACGCCAGGAGAGGAAGCCCTACCTTCCCAGGGAGGCCTTCAGGAACCGCACGGCGACCCTGTGGTTCTTCCGGGCATCGTCCAGCAGCTTCTGGTGCCTGAGCCCGTGCTCCTTCTGGGTGTGCAGGGACTTCCTGTGGGGCCGGAGGGCCGTCAGAGGGAAACTCAGCATTGCACACGCCGTCTGCCCCCCAGGCCCCGCACAGCCGGAGCACGTGTCCCAGAGATGCCGTGGGCCCTGCTCAGCCGTCCTGCACAGCCTCCCTTGGGAGAAGCAAGGGTCCCTGGAGAGCTGGTGCCGTGGGCCACACGGATGTCAAACTCTCCACACCACTGGGGTTCCAGTGCCAGGGAGCCACCGAAGGCAAGATTTGATCCGGGCTGGGCCGGGGTCTGGGAGGAGGACGGGGCAGGCGCAGCTGTGCTGTGGGGAGGGAGGAGGCAGGGGCTGCGGACCTTGTGAATGTCTGCAGCCAGGGCCTGGATTCCACAGGGGTTTGTGGCCTGGGCAGCTGAAGGGATGGAATGAGATGAGGGACAGGATGGAGGCTGGAAGGGGTCCCAAGGAGAGAGGCTCACGGCAGGCTGGGACAGCTGGCTTGATGGCATGTGGAGTACCTGGGGACTGGCCTCATAGGTGGCTGGACCCTGGCTGCACAGCGGATGTGTGGGGAACGGGCCTGAGTGCTCCATGGCCAGGGGTGGGGGCTGGGGGAGGGGTGCAAAGGAGCAGCCAGAGGTGGGATGGAGCCCAGAGAATGGCCTGGCTGGGAAGAGGATGGGGCTGCAGGAGGCAAAGGAGAGGCAGTCTCGCTGGAGCACGGCTTTTGTGGCTGGCTTTAGTGGCCAGCTTTAGTGGCTGGCTTTGGTGGCCAGCTCTGGTGACTGTATGGTGGCCGTGGCATCTCAGGAGGGATGGGGCTCTGGGCAGGTGCACGGGGGTACCTAACACCTGGGAGGGACTCAAGGGCCTGGCAGAGGAGCAAGCTGGGGGGAGGCAGGGAGGGGTAGAGGTGGAACCAGGCAGATGTGGAGGGCGAGGCTGGTTCTGGAGACCCCTGGGGGAGAAGGCGGAGGGGCTGGCAGGAGCTTCAGGGCACGAGCGGGCCTGGGTGCCGCTTACCGGACCCTCAGCAGGTGGTTCCGCTCCACCTTCCCCAGGGCTTCCTGCTCCCTGCAGAGCTGCTCAGCCGCGTGGACCTGGAGCTGCCGCCCCACAGCCTCTGCCTCCTCATGGTTCGCCATCCGGAAAGCCTCTAGCTGCCCCTCCTGGATCTCGATGTGCCACATGGTGTTCCTTTAGACGAGAGGTAAAGGGGCTGGAGTCGGGCCTGGGGTCATCCTGGGGGGTTCCGGCACCAAGTGCTGACACGACGGACAGGTCAGCTCCCTCCTCTAGGGGTCCTCTCCACCTGAGTCACCCCGACGCTGAGGCCCGCCTCGCCCACCTGCAACGTCAGGACAATCACCACGGGGTCATTCCAGCCCGGCTGGAGCTGGGCCTGCCCTCCCGCGTGCCGCCGCCAGCCTGAGGCCTCATCTGTTGGCTGCAGTGGGCCTGGGGCGGGCCCTGCCCAGCCTGAGAAAGCCTTCGGGAAGGGACAGCCGTGACTCCGTGGCTGGGCTGGAGGATCCCCGGTACGAACTCACCGGCACCCAAGCCCACGCCTCAGTCTTCAAACGTTCCTGGGGTGGGGGCTGTGGAGTGTGGAGTCACCAGCCCTGCCCAGGGCCACGTGTGCTGGATTGTGAGTGTGGTGTCTTTGGTGGCTACAGATGATATGGTGCCCCTTGATTCCTGGCACAACTCAGGGAAATTTCTGGTGAATCTTTAGTTGGAGGAGGGCCTGAGCAGTGGGAGCTCAGGCCGGGAAGTTTCCTTCTTAGGATGTGAACGGTGTCCTTCTATGAGTGGCCAGGTGGGAGCACGGAGCTGCTGGGGAGGCGGCCTGGACAGAGACACCTGGTGGACGGATGTGAGAAGCCGCTCCTGGAGACATGACAAACATTCCACCCGGAGATGTGGCTCAGGCCGGGGCTGGCCACGCGAGGACCAGAACCCCTGGACAAAGTCAGACGCAGGAGCGTAGCTGGCACCCTCCTGGATTCTGGCAGTCCACACGACGTGGGCTGCAGGCCTTTCCTAGACACCCCTGACCATGTTATAGGAACATGTCCACTTCCTCTTTTGTGAGAAGCTTTTCGCGGGGAGCTGAGCCCAGTCCTGCAAGGCCGTGGCAGGGGCCCCACCGCCTTGGCCCTCCTTGAATAAAGTCTGCTTTACATCTGTTTTAAAAAATCATGACTATATGTTGGATTGAGATACTCAACGGTTTTCTCTTTTAACGCATTCATGTTAAGAATTTCCAACGTTGAGCCTTTTTTGGGGCTCCTGGGATATAAACTCCAACTTGGCAAGTGAGGTGTGTGTGCGTGCCTCACGCATGGCTGGATTTCAGTTTTAATGTTTTCTTCAGGGTTTTCTTTCTTTCTTTCTTTCTTTCTTTCTTTTTTTTTTTTTAAAGATGGGGTTTCACCATGATGGCCAGGCTGGTCTTGAACTCCTGACCTCAGGTGATCCACCCATCTCGGCCTCCTGAAAGTGCTAGGATTACAGGCGTGAGCCACCGCGCCCAGCCCAGAGTTTTCTTAATGATCTCCTGAGATTGGCCCTATTTCCGCTGCTTGCACCGCCCTCTGGGTCTCAGCATCCAGGTTGCGTCACTGCATTTTAGAATCCGGGTGCACTGTGCTCTTTGTTGGGGTCATTTTCAGTAATTAGCTCGTTTCGAGCGGTCATGGGTCACTTGCGTCCGGCCATGTGCCGCGTTCACCTCTCCCGAGGCAGGGGGACTGCACGGCGCCTCCACATGTGGGGGTATTTCTATTCCTCCCGCTCGTGATTCTTGAAATTCATCAACCTGAGGATGCGTGCTTCCCTCAGTTCTGGAAAGTGCTCAGTCACTGTTCTACCGAATGTCGCTTCCCCAGCCTGCGGGCTCTCCAGTGCTCGCGGCCACGTGAGCTCACAGCTTTCGCTCTCTTGGGTAAGAGGCGGGTCCTGTCTTAGGCACCGTCAATGCCCATTCCTGCTGCTGTAGCAAAATGCCTGGGACTGAGTCTTCACCAGCAACAGAAATTCATTCCTCACAGTTCTGCAGGCCGGGAAGTCCAAGGTCAAGGTGCCAGCAGGTTCCATGTCCTGTGAAAGCCCGTTCCTCAAAGGTGGTGCCTTGTCTGTGTCCTCACGTGCCAGAAGAACGGAAGGGTCCCTCAGTCCCTTTTACCAGGCACTTGTCCCCTCCATGAGGGCAGCGCCCCCACGGCCGAGTCTCCCAGAGCCCCCACCTCCTCATGCCGTCGCCTCCAGGGCAGATTTGGTCTGGATTCGAGCCCCCTGCATTGCATGTTGGACTGTAGCCCCAGTGTTGGAAGTGGGCCTGGTGGGAGGTGTTGGGGTTGTGGGGGCGGCTCCCTCATGAAAGGCCTGGGCTATCTCCTTGGTGATGAGCGAGTTCACGAAAGATCTGGTTGTTTGAGAGTGTGTGGCACCTCCATCATCTTGCTTCCCCTCCCGCTGTGGGAGACACGGCTCCTCCTTCGCCTTCTGCCATGACTGGAGGCTTCCTGAGGCCTCCCCAGAAGCAGATGCCACCGCATTCCCTGCACTGCCTGCAGAGCCCTGGCCAATCAAATCTCCTCTTCTTCTTGAGATGAGTCTCGCTCTGTCTGCCAGGCTGGATGGCAGTGGCACGATCTCAGCTCACTGCAACCTCTGCCTCCCGGGTTCAAGCAAATCTCCTGCCTCAGCCTCCCAAGTAGCTGGGATTATAGGTGCCCACCACCATGCTCAGCTAATTTTTGTATTTTTAGTAGAGATGGGGTTTCACTATGTTGGCCAGGCTCGTCTCAAACTCTTGACCTCAGGTGATCTGCCCGCCTTGACCTCCCAAAGTGCTGGGATTCCAGGCGTGAGCCGCCGCGCCCGGCCCAAGCCTCTTTTCTTTTTCTTTTTTTTTTTTTGAGATGGAATTTCGCTCTTATTACCCAGGCTGGAGTGCAATGGCACGATCTCGGCTCACCACAACCTCCGCCTCCTGGGTTCAGGCAATTCTCCTGCCTCAGCCCCCTGAGTCGCCGGGATTACAGGCACGAGCCACCATGCCCAGCTAATTTTTTTCTATAGTTTTAGTAGAGACGGGGTTTCACCATGTTGACCAGGATGGTCTCGATCTCTTGACCTCGTGATCCACCCGCCTCGGCCTCCCACAGTGCTGGGATTACAGGCTTGAGCCACCGCCCGGCCAACCTCTTTTCTTTATGTGACCCAGTGTCAGGCATCTCTTTACTGCACACAAAGACTGATGAGCAGTGGGGCTGAGTTCCAGGGGCACGTGAATTTCAGGGGCGCCAGCATTCAGAGCAGAGCAGAGGTGGATTGGGGAACACTGGGATTTTGAGGACAGGAGTGAGGACATTTGAGGGGGTCTGCACCCATGTGAGCCCCAAACTGCCAAGCCCCCTCTGCCCATCCGTCCGCAGGGAAGCAGCCCTCCCTGCCCTCAAAGGCGGGCTCTGATGCCTGAAGGCCCCGAAGCACCTCCCTGCAGGGCCGCCAGTTCTCCTCACGCCCCTCTTGCCATCCCCGCTGGCCCAGATGCTCCCAGGGGCAGGAACAAAGTGTGACCTGAGAAGAGAAGGATCCCAGAGGGGAAGAAGGTAGCTAATCTACACGGCGGGACCTGGGGAAGGTGTGTGGGAATGAAATCCAACCTTGCCAGGCCACAGAGGGAAGAGCCTGCCCGAGCCTGGCCTGGGCGTCTGAGGTGGACATGCCGCCAGCTCACCCACCCACCATGGATGGCTCCTGTCATTCACTCAGCTGGTCAAGGAAACCTGGACCCAGGAGACACCTGCACTGCAGAAAGCTGAGACGCCAGAAAATCACGCAGAAGAAGGAATCCGAATGTTTGGAGAGAGAACCTGCTGGAAGGTTTGTTGTTGAGTTGGAGTCTCACTCTGTTGCCCAGGCTGGAGTGCAGTGGCGCAGTCTCAGCTCACTGCAGCCTCAACCTCCTGGCGTCACTGATCCTCCCACCTCAGCCTCTTGAGTAGCTGGGACTATAGGTGCACGCCACCATGCCCAGCTAAGTTTGGTATTTTTTGTAGAGATGGGGTTTCACCATGTTCCCAGGCTAATCTCAAACTCCTGGGCTCAAGCAGTCTGTCCACCTTGGCCTCCCAAAGTGTTGGGATTACAGGCGTGAGCCACTGCATCCAGCTGTTGAGAGTCTGACCACATAGAGAAGGCATGTTTTTCATTGTGGCTCCAGTGAGGAAAGTCCTGCGCCCTTGGAAAGCACCGAGGTGAGCTCTGAAGTGCGCGGGGACCCGGGCAGGGATGCTGCCTATGAGGGGCTCCCAGTTGCACCGGGAAGGTGGAGCCCTGGGGCGCTGCTGGACCTGGGAGGGAGTTGGGCTGGTTCCAGGGCGGGCAGCAGGGCAGAGTATCTCAGCGTGGATGGGTGGAAGGAGTTTTTGGCAGTAGTAATTGATTTAGGAGTCCCGCGAGCTGAAGTAGATGGGCACCCCACTGAAGTCCCCTTTATCGGAAGAGCTGGTGTGGTCAGTCGGAAAGGGAGCGATGAAGATTGGAGAGATGGGACCAGCTGGTTGTGGAGATGGAGGAATGCAGGCAGCTTTGGAGCTGAAAAGGGAGGACACGGGTTCTCCGTGGAGGCTTCCGTGGGGAACCAGTGCTGCGCACACCTTGACTTTAGCCCAGTGGGACCTGTGTTGGGCCAACAACCTCTAGAGCTCCAAGCTCATAAATCCGCGCCCTGCTGAGCTGTGACGTTTGCGGGATTTGTCACTGCAGTGACGGGACACGGGTGCAGTCAGAGAAGCCTCACAGCAGTCCTGGCCACTGTGCCTGCTGGGGGTCCCTCACGGCTGAGTGGGGCGTGCCGGGAGCCTCCTCTTTGAGCTGAGCTGGGCGTGGGAAGGCAGCGGTCATGTGACGAGGCTGCGCAGAACACATGATCACTCACAGCCTGCCTCCCACCACCGAAGCAGGCTTCACCAGGCAGGACTCTGGTGCTTCATTCATGGGCTTAGGACGGTGTCTGGCAAGCAGTGGGTGCCCTCTTACCATGTGTGGGAGGATGAGTGAATGAGAGACTGTATCTAAGCCGCCAGCACAGATTCAGGCACCTGCAGCAGCCCCCTGGGCACAGGAATGGGACACACACAAGCCCAGCACAGGCATTTGGACCGGGAGGTGGTTTGCCTGGGCAG